CCTGTGCGGGACACGCTTGCTGGAAATGCTGCGTTGGATTTCTCCGGTGAGGTCGGGCCATCGGTTGTTGTTCCTTATCCCGGCTGGGAGCGTCTCTGGAGCTCTGCCGGCAGCGTGCCGGGGTTTCCTCGGGTCTCTGCTGCTTCGCCCCATTGCACGAGCCCAGGGCATCCCTCTGGGAGGGCTATGGATGGGTGCAAACAGAAAATAGGTGTATCTGTAGCCTACATCCGCAAAGGGATTTGAATCATTCCTGAATGTAAAGCAGGAATTAGATCTGCTTGTAAAAGTAGCCCTTGCTCCCATTGTGGACGAGGCAGGAGAAGCGCTCAGCCCATGACATGAGAATTTCCTACCCACGGCTGTCTCAGCCGCTTGCCTCCAGAGCTCGAATCATTTCTCTCATTTGATGCAGAAGTCGGAGGATTTCCTTGAAAATAGAGTCTTTGTTTGGCAAATATTTCTCCCGCCTGGTCCGGGGCTGTAAGCACTCTTTGTTCATTAAGTGACAATCTCTTTCTCAGCCAGCGCGATACCATCAGCAGAGAGAGACTTTTGAGGCCCGCCTGAATTGCCGGGGAAGGGTCCGTGCCTGTGCAGACGCCCTGCGCGGAGGAAGTGCTGTGTGTGTTAGAGAACAGGTTTGTTTTTTAAAAAATACCAGGCTACATCCTTAGCGGTTTCAAATTTGGGGCACAGATTGTCGAGCTGTTCTGTGATTTTAGAGCACCTGAAATAATGTGATCTTGGGCTGGAGGCGATCTCCTAGAACCTCCCAGCCGCCAACATAATACAAATGGGTTGCAATAAAAAATAAATTAGTGTGAGTCCACAGAAGCCAGCAGAGCTCTAGCCCTTTCACAGGCTGAGGATCCAGATGAATATTTCATTTAAAATATTCTATTATGTTGGCTCATATCATTGTAATATCTGAGTGTCTCACATTTGTAATGCAACTTTACAACAGCTTTGTGAGACCTGGAAATCTCAGACTGAAGATTATTTCAGGCACCAGCCATCTATTTTACTCCATCTTGATGCAGCATCTTGCACGAAGGAGTCCACGACTGGGGCTTCGTGGTGCTACTGAAGATGCAGGATAAGCAGAGCAAGACCATGCATCTCAGGACAAGGTTGCACCGAAGCGCGGGACGATGCAGGGAATAATTGAATTGAGCCTCCCAGTGCCAGAGCGGTCCCACCGGCCCGTCCACCTCCGCAGCTGGAACAGCCGCAGCAGTTAGAGCACTCCAGCACTGGATCATCATCTATCAGCGCACGGGAAGACAACGAGGTTTGCAGAGGCTTTTCTATCTCACACGGTTTGTGAGCAGCCTCGCTTGCTCTAGCACCACATCAGTGTTTGTAAACAACCTTCTTAAAATACATCGAGCAGGATGTGGGAGCATCACGTGAACGTGCAGCTTCTCGTCAAGGCAACGGGCCCGACTCTGCCCGCAAAGGGTAGAGCAGAATAACTCACCGAGCTCATTTCCACCAGCCTGCCCCGAGCATCGCCAAGGACAGCTCAGCATAGGCGTCTCCACTTCCCACCTACGCAGTGGGAACAGCACAGGGACAAGGACCGCATCGACCAGGGCTGCTCGGATGCTGTGGAAATGACTTGCTGCCTCTGCCAGACCTAATTTAGCAGATGATACCAGCTGCTTCCCAAAGAGGTGCACGTAACCCTGAAACAAGCTGCTATGAAATGACTCAGCCAAGGCAAACCCTTCCTCCTAACACCTCCTTGTGCTGGTGTTTGACATATGACCTGGCAGAGGGAGATTGCTAATAATACCTGCATTTTATATAGCACTTTTCTTTGGGAAATCTCAGACGGTTTTACACAGAAGTCAAGTCTATTTGGAGCTCAAGGCTTCTAAGGATGTGTCAAGGACAGAGAGTTTTGGTACCCAGGAAGGCAACATGGGAAGGTTCTATTGCCAGGACAGATCTGCTAAACCAATCTAGCAAGGAAACAATGATGGCTGTGGTTAATTTGCCATTGATAGGGTCCAGAGTAAACACCCCAGAGATGATCGGGGAGGGAGTTCTCTCTTTCACAGCCATGCTTTCAGGTTAGCCAGCAGAGTTTAGATGCTACAGCCCCATTTTATGATGTGCCCCAGAGACTGGCGGGAGCATGAGATGGCTGTGAGAGCATCACACGCCGTACCAGGCCAGGAGCCCCGTCCTATCGCGGGAGAACCGAGCTCTGGCACTGCAGCCAAAGCAGGTGCCCGACCCTCGGGAAAGTCCGGGGAGGGAACCAGCGAGGCCTCATGCGCTGGGGACCGCTCAGGAATAGCCCCGAGCCACGCAGAGGAACGCCTGGGGAGAGCTGGTGCGTAGAAGGCAGGCTTTGTCTCGGGCAGGTCGGCTGGGTGTGTGCTTCCTGGCATACAATTCCCAGATTAGCAGGAGCCGGGCTGCCAGCAGCTCCTCCGGCCCCGCTGTGAATGAGCCGCTCGGGGCTGGGAACTCCTGCTGAGGTCAGTGGTTCAAGCGCCCGGCACTGCCGAGCGGCTCGGGGCGGAGGCAGGGGATGGGACGAGGCGAGGATGCAGGGATGGGACACCTCCTCCCATGCACCCAAGGGAAAATGAAGGGGCAGGGGGGCACTTCTGCACCCCACGGGGACAGGACCTCCCCCCCGACCCCTCTCTGATACCTCCATAAGAGGTTAGCTTTGCTTTTCAGCCCCAGGGGATGGAGACCACCACTGGCCAAACCAGACAAGGCAATCTCACCGCACTTTTTGCAGTGGGTGGGGAGCAGAGGCAGAGACCTGTCTCTTCTTACCCCGAAATTAATAAATAAAAACCTTAAAAGCCACAGAGAATAACTAATGTGGAAAACATGAAAAAGCTGGAGGGTGGAAGGGTTGGGAAAGGAGAAAAAGTAATTCAACACAGAACTGTTTAATAAGGGGAAGTGAATAATCAGAGGGAGAAGTGAGAACAATTTATTCACACTAAATGCTTAATCTAAAAAAAAAAAATATAAATAATTCAAACCAAAGCCAGGCCATGCCAGCCAGTGGGGTGAGACTCATGGGTCCTTCCCAAGGAACAGAGAGAAAGCAAAAAGGGAAACATGGTACGTTCATTAAAAAAGAAGCATAAGGGAAAGAAGAGGAAAAAGCTGGAGCTGCGGAGCTCTTTGGGACAGGCCTAAGCCTGGCTGGTACCGGGGTGGGGAGCAAAGAGGAAGTGTCGATCCCTTCTCCGGGAGGGCTGCCGATGCGGGGTGGTCCATCGGGGGCTGCTCCCCACCTCTTCCAGGAGCTGGATCCAGGGAGGGAAAAGGATGTACCTCAGGGACTGAAGCGGCCGAGGCAGAGCGGCACAGCCTCCCACCAGCCCTGCTGCCCGCTCCCACCGCCTGACAGGGCTCCCGGCGCTGCCCCGTGCCCCAAAACAGGCTCTTCCCTTCCGTTATCTGCAGCCGCTGAGCAGCGCAGGGCTCTGGGGCGCAGGGCTCTGGGGCACAGGGCTCTGAGCACCTCCAGCATCTCTCGCTACAAGAGCTGCACCCGTGCCGGCATGTTGCAACCATTAGCATGAAGCAAGGCTGCTCCAACACCCCACCGGTGCCCGGCTGCTTGCACTCCTCCAGCCTCCAGCCCCACTTACTGCTTCAGAGAAGACGGACACCAGCAACTCCCCTCTGACTGCGGCGCCGGGAGTCGCGCCAGGCATGCCCCTGCCTTCATCTGCCTGTGAAGACCATGCTTATGAATCGGTGCCTGTCTGCAGACACCCCCTCAGAGGCTGAAAGGAGCTACTGTGCACGCTTTCAGGATCAGACCCGTGCCCTGGAGCTCTTGGCAGATGGGTTCAGACAGAGAAGCATCCCTGTTAAACTCTGGGTGCTTTCCTAAATGCTCAAAGTCTGCGCCTGCCCCCACACTGCAGAGCGAGGCGGCTGCAGAGAAAGCTGAGCACAGAAGAAAAACAAAATTAACCAAGCAAACAACCCGGTAATACTCCTGGCCTGCGCGGCGTGAGACAAAGAAACCGCCTCCACGCTCCATTTTCCAGTGGTTTGGAGTTTCGCTGCAGAGAAAGCTGAGCACAGAAGAAAAACAAAATTAACCAAGCAAACAACCCGGTAATACTCCTGGCCTGCGCGGCGTGAGACAAAGAAACCGCCTCCACGCTCCATTTTCCAGTGGTATTTTGGAGTTTCCCAACCCCCCCCCTTGCAGCTACTCAAGGCAAGACAACACATCTGGTCTTTGCACGAGGGAGAAGATGGGATGCTGCAAAGTGACCCCAACGCACACATGCCCGGTGGGCAGCGAGGGCAGGCAGCCCCCCAGCACCCCCCTTCCCACCTCCCAGACGTGCTCTTCCTGTGCATGGAGCGGAGGAAGTTGCTTTTTCCTCTCTTCTGGGCTGTCCCTGCCTTCGGGAGGAATGTGCTGGCGTTCAGCTCACACACCCTCAGCTCACACCAAGGAGGAGTGATAACCAGCGCGCGGATCTGCCTTCGCAGAGCCAGGCTTGGAAACTCCCCGTGTTTCCTCCGCACGGGGACGGAGGGTTTCCGTAGCCAGTTGTCTGGTCCTGCCCGGAGCCCTTGTCAGCCCAGATTTCAGAGGCATTTAGAACTATGCCACTGATCCATGTGGTGCTTTGGAGAGGAGTTGGTACACGGTCTCTTGTATGAAAGGGGAAACTGAGGCAGGGAGTGCAGAGCCAGCCTTCTCAAAGGGGAGACTTAAAACTGGGCTCATTTAATAAATAACCTCACTAAAACATGCTGGTTTTCCTGCAGAAGCCACCAGCTTTTCTAAAATATATTGACCTGACACTATGCAATTTTAAGCATATTGGCCCAAGCGCCTTGCCCATGGTCCCACAATGGCTTAGTGGAGGAGACAGAAATACAGCTGTGGCCACAGAGCACCATGGTGGCACATGGCGCCAAGAGAGATGTCCCATGTCAGTGCACCGATGGCATTTTTCTCTTCTAGACCGACCTCAGCCTTTTCCAGGGGTTCCTGCTCCGCTCGCTCCCAGCTGTGCCCAGCTTCTCCCAAAGCAGCCAATGGTTTCTCCTGCTCTGTCTTCAGAAAACCTTGGTTAGAGAATGAAATACGTCAGCGAGACAGACACCCCGAGTACTACAGGAAATTGGAATAGCACTCTCAACGTGTCCTCACAGCCAGGAATCGACCCCAGACGCTGACTGCTTGGTCACGTCATCACAGATCTGCAGGACCTTATAAGCAGGTTGTCCCAAGCTTCTTGCCTGCAGAGAGGTCTGCTGCCACGCTTGAGCGCTCTCTGTGCTGACATGCCAAGGATCTGAGAGTCTTCTCAGGGTGCTCGCAGGAGCCCCGTGCTTCAGGACTCACACCCAGGACGTGCTGGGTTAGCTTTCTCACCTGATTAGGAAAAATACCCGGGAGACCATGGTGTGCCTCCCAGAGGGAAGGGGTGGGAGCTCTGTTATTTGAAATATTTCAAATCCAAGGGGCAAAGTTGGAGGGAATGGTCTGGACAGAACAATTCTGTGCTGGGGACAAAGGTGAAAAGGAGGAAGGTCTGGGAGACCCTTCCCTCCCCTCTTGCGGGGAGCCCATATGATGATGCTCAGCCCACACACATTTATCAGCCCTCTGACAGGTACCTGCAGTCACAGAAACCCCCCTCTCTTCCCATGTTTATACAACAGACTATCAGAAGGTGTATTTATAAGTTATTTTGTCCTAAACAGATTATAGCTTGACAACTCTTCCAATGCCTGAAAAACACAAGCTGGCTTATGCTGGCTTCTCTGGACGCGGCAAACAGACGGTTTGATTAACGTCCAACATGCTCCAATAGCTATTATAGGAACAAGGCCTGGATCTGTTGTGGGGTTTTTTTAATCAATTTGATAAATCTGGAGCACGTGAGAAGCGCTTTGCCTGAAGCCTCATATTCTCTCTTCATCCAGAGCCCAGAGAGAGCACAGTCGTGATAAACTCGGCGTGCAGACACCCGTGGTCTTGGCACGGCGGCTGTGCTCTGCGGGGAGCTGGGGCATCGCAGCTCTGCCCTCGGCCCCCCGGGCGCTTGGCACTGCCACCATCTGCATCTTCCCACCCTGCCCGACTGGGAAAGGAGCCCTGCCTCCCCCAGCAACCCCAGAGGGAACCAGGAGGAAACTCTGTGGATAAAACCTGATGAACAACAGGGGTTTTGCTGTTCCTTTTCACAGTTGCAATTGCTCTCTGGTACCACAGCACCCCTGGAGAGCCGTCACACCCTGCCCGACTGGGTGCTGCGGAGCCAGGCGAGCTGGACCAGCTCCCTCCTGCCAGGGAGCAGCGGGGCGGCCCTGCTCCAGAGCAGCAAGGGGAGCAGAGAGCAACTTTCCCTTAGTCACATCCTCCGGACAGTTAAGCAACGCTGCGGCGAGCCGGACTGAGCTGTGGGCAGCATGCACAGGCTGCCGGCACCGTGGCCGGGGCTCAGGGCCGGACTGCGCAACCCACGGCCACCCGCGCTCCAGCAGCCTCGGGGCAGGGGTTGGAGTCCTGGTTTTGCCGAGGGTTTGCAGGAGGCGAGCCTGCCCGCTCCTGCGACACCCACGCTGCGTGGGGTGACCAGACCTGTAGGTTGACGGAAAACCTCTTTGGCCCGTGCAGAGATGGTCCCTCGACGCACCCCACCCTCCTGTCCCCGCTGTCCCCTGCTCCCCGCAGCCTGGACCCCCGCAGCCTGGACCCAGGGAGCCAGGGCTGCCCCGCACACACCCACGGGTGTCTGTGTCAACCCAGCTGGGTTAGCCCGGCTCGGCTCAGCTCGGTTGGAAGTCAGAGAGTGCCATCTGGTGCTCCGAGGAAATTTCTCTCCCCAGCAGGTTCCCGCAGCTCTGCTGAAGGGCTGGGGGGAGCCAGCGGGGGGGTTCTGCTCCCATCCTTGGCAGGAGAGAGTGGAGGAGCTCACCTCTCGACCGGGACCACACCAGAGGGTTTTGCAGGCAGGAGGGGGAGAACCCGTGTTGCAGGTCTCTTAGCAGCCGCATTCAAAAGAGGCTCCTCTTCGCTTTCCAGCTCCATCAAGCTTCCCGGGGCATGAGGCTGCAGCGGGGGGAAAAAAAAAAAGAAAAAGATGATGTCAGAGTTGACAAAATGTCTCTGTACAACAGTTTGATTCTGATGTAACGCTAATTCCAGTAGCTGATCTTCAAAAAATCCTCTACCTCTTCTTCCTCCCCCCCCCCCCCCCCCCCCCCTTTTTTTTTACCAAAGGAGCGAGGGCTGCCAGGTGTGGCTGGGGGGCGGCCCCCCCTCTCCCCCCCCTCCCCCCCCCCCCCCAACCCCTGCCACGCCAATTCATCATCCAGAGATCTCAGTGCACTTCGTGCAGTTGAGTAGATGTCTCCTGGCACAGATGGGAAACTGAGGCAAGCAGGGGAAAAGGTTGGCCCCGGGTCACACAGGGAGTGAGTGACGGAACCCAGCAGACATCTGGTCTCTGGACTCCCACGCCCTAAACTGTTAATTTGCCACTCGTCTCCCATATTTCGCCAGGCAGTGGCAGGATCTGTAGCATGGTTATGCTGTATAGAAAGGAAATCTGTTAAAAAACCAACTTTTTAACAGCTTCAGGCAGCTCCCCAAGGCTACTGTTAAAACACTGCCCTGGAGTCCCTCTTTGCTGTCGGGAACAAAATACTGCCCATTTCTCAAAGAGCTGATTTAATGCACTGCACCATCCAGCAGAGAGGGGGCCTAATTTGTCTTATATGTCCGTGCTGCACCAGTCACACCCCACACCCACGCTCCGGCAGAACAGCTTTATTAAACCACCAACCTGTCCGCCACCCCAGCTACTTCCTGCAGCTCTACCAGGTCCTGCACCTTTTTCAGCGCCTCTCAGAGCCCTGACCGAGCAGCTGGAGTCTCTGCTCTGCTGCAGATTTGTTTCTCTGCTGCAAACCTGCCCTGTTTATGTTGCCTGGATTGGAGACGCCCGTCCTGCTCCGTCCATGGCCTCCTCTGGGCTTGCTCACGCTGTCTTGCAGATACCTGGGGAAATCACCAGCATCCCTGACCTGACCCTCATCTCAGATGAAAACCTAGTCTGCAGGGGCATCTCTTATTCTGCTTTGGATCCGATGTGCTAGGAAAATCCAGGAGCATTGTTAGGGACGGCAAGATAATTTTGCACATACAGCTTGTTCCAGGGCTGCTGGGTAACCAGTTACCCCAATTAAACAACCATAGTCACAGTGGGGGCCTGTAAGAAGACCAGGAAGGGAATCCCGAAGGCCTGGCTCTTGCCACTATCCCTATTTCACTCCCATCCATCCCATCTCAGCAAACGTCCCAGTACCGTGTGTTGCCCATCACTGACCATCCTGAGACCGTTCCCTGCTCAGGTGGAAAGGACCATGGAGGTACAGAAGAACTTCAAAGACACCCCTGAAAGCCCACAGCCTCTGATGCGGTAGTGCCTTGGCAGTGCCAGGGATGAGTTTTAGCATCCCCCGCGCTAATCTATCCCTATGCCTTTCCTAAGGCCTGAGGGCACTTGGATCTGCCTGCACGTAGATCCTCCTCAGGAATGATCACCGCCTTAGCCCCATGCTCCATGTCCTTTCACCAACCTTGTGTGAAGTCCATCGATGTCTGTTCATGTTGAAGAGCCTGTTCCACTGGGACAGCTCGGCTTTCAGGGATCCTGCACCCTCACCTGCTCTTTAAAACAAGCCCAAAGAAAACAGTGACTCCCCAGAGCAGTCACCTCCCTTCCTGCACGTGGTCCTTGGCACAGCAAGCAAACGTGCCCCCAGTGGAGTGGCTGAAAGAGGTTATCGTGACAGGTCCAGATCCTCTGGTACCAGCAAAGCAAATGGACTTATTGTCAGGCACGCTGGGCACTGAATTCAGTGGGCGACTGGTTGAAGTGCCCCAGCCCCTCGCATCCCCCGCGCAATTTTCAGTGCTCTCTGCCCTGGCCCTTGGGTACTCTCCCCAGTGACCTGACTGCCTCAGCAATCCCCCTGGTTGGTCTTTCTCCAACACGCAGCTTTGATGCCAACATTCAGCCAGCAGACAGCGTGCAGCACTAGCCCCAAGGCTCATACCCAAAAAGCAGCATACAGAGCGGGAGAAGGGCTGCCAGTCATTCCTCAGGACTTCTCCCACCCACCAGCTGCCCCAGGAAGCCCTCGAGTCCTCAGGGATGAGGCGGGGGGATTTCCTTTCCCTCTGAGCCATCCTCTCACCTTTCAGGAGCTGCTCGTTCTCCCATTCAGCATCGAAGTCCACAGAAAACATCGGCTCGGGGCTTGCACTGCAGGTAACATCTTCACCATCAGCACCCAGACCTTGAAGGAGCCCATCCCTGGAGGCAAAGCCCAGTTAGGTGTGTTCAAACAAAGGCCAGCAGGACCAGCATTGCAATTTCTGACCCTCTGTCAGCAACACTAACACAGCTGGATCTGGTTGCATCCCTTGTCAGCAGCCTAGAGAGGCCAAGGACAACAAAGGGCTATAACTCGGGTTTCTGATGGGTGCCACAGTCCATACAGAACCACCTGGGGACCTTTGGGGAGGTAAGAGCAGCACAGGCAGCGGTGGGAATGGAGCCTGCCTGCTGTGGATGCAGGATGCCCCAAAGCTCTGTGGGTTCTGGAAGCCAACTGCAGCCTTACTGGAAACACTGGGCTCATTTCAATGTTTTAAGGAAGTAAGGGGAAAACTGGGTTTTATAAAATCCAAATGAGCAGCTGTTAATAAAGTCCAAACAAGCAGCCTTCTGCAAAACACCAGCTGCTCGGGATCTGACAAGACCGATGCAACCAAGCGGGCTTCTCCCTATCCCCCTAGGGCATCCGTGGCTATGAGGACGTGCTCCCTCGACAGGGACGCTGAAGCAAGCCGGGCCTTTGGCCCCATATCACCCCCCACCCCAACGCTTACGTCTCCAGAGCTTTGTCACCGAAAGCTTCTGGCATGGCTGTCCCCTCTTTACTGGCCACCCCGCTGCCTGCACGCTGCCGGGCTGGGCTGCTGGCAGGAGTGTCCACCGCATCACCGGCCACCGCCAGCTCTGTGTCACCGGTGCTCAGCGACAGGCAGCTTCTGCTTGTGCTGCTCCCCAGGGAGCCAGCGAGGCTGACCCCCCCCCCCAGCAGCAGCAGCTCCGTGCTCTCCCCCTCGGCACCTTCCCAGGGGACCCAGCCTGGGTGCTGCTGGCCTGCCAGTTCCCCTGGGCTGCTGCTGCCCCCAACGGCGCCCAGCTCTTGCCCCTCCGCTCTGGGCTCCCGTGTCCCCTGCATGCTTTGTGGGAGCCCAAAGAGATTCCTGAGGAGCTGGAGCAGGGAGGGACGGCTGAGAGCCCGGGCGGCTGTCAGGGCATCCATCCCTGCCAGCGCTGGGAGTGGGGCTGCGGGGTCGGCCAGTGGCTCAACGGCTTAGAACTGGATTTGAATCAAACGGCCCCAAACTGCCCGGAACCCAGAGCTGCAGCACTGAGACAGTGACAGGGATCTGAAACAAGGCTGGGGAGGGGGCAAGATGTCACCCAGAGGGGCAAAGGATGCACAGCCCAGGGCTGGAACGGGGATACAGACCGAGCACAGCCTAGAGCTGGGGGAGAAGAGGGGCCCCAAAAGGTGAAGCCTCCCTTCTACCCACAGCAACTCATTCTTGCAGCATTCCCACCTCTGCCACAGTTTGGCCTAGCCCTGAAATCTCCTCAGGGACCCTCACACCAGCAAGGGAGGGTGGGAGGAAGGGGGAAGGCTCCCGAAAACACGCAAGAACTCCTCCAGCAGCGCAGTACCATGGCCAAAGAGAGAAAGATAAAAAAATACTAATTCTGCAGGCAGCAGCGGAGCAAACAGCTTTTAAAAGCAGCGTCTGCGTTTGCCATCGCAATGCAATACATTCATGACAATAAAGGCAGGAACTGAAACAGCAGCAAACTCAAGGACCTGTTTCTCCCTCGGCCCCTCAGGCACATTTCTGATGGGTATTTTCCTGGGATCACAGACTCAGGCAGGGGCATGATTTTCTCCGCAACGTTCCTGCACTCGACAGAGCCGTGCTGTAGCTGCAGTAACACTGGCATAAAGCTGCTCTCGCTGATGTAACGTATCCCTCGTGGAGGCATGCTGGTAGGAGTTCAGCTTTGCTTCTACGCTAGGAGTTTCTTCTGGCTGGCTCTGCCAGTGTCTGCTCATCCTTGGCTCAGCTAGTCCACAAGCTGCTGGCTGCAAGAAGGGTTTTTTTTTTTCCCCCCCAAAAAAAATCATCTAAAACTGCCATGTCATCATGACTGAAACCGAGATTCTCCCACCCTCCAGCTGCACCCTCCTGTTTCCTTTCCTCTGCCATCGCTGGGCTCGGGCAGTCAGCGCAGGGCACGGCTCCTGCAAAGCACAGACCACAGTCCTCCTCACTGCAAAAAGTGTTTTCATGTCAGCTCTTGCTGGCACGAGAGGAGGGCTGGGGACGCGCGGCTGAGCGCAGCCCCCTTCCCAGCAGCAGCACAGATTCAGACTACACCAACCAATTGGTGAAACCACATCCTAAAACGCCACGTGAATCCTGAAACCAGAGGCTCCTTCTCTGCAGCTGCCGTGCATCACTTATTTACAGCAGTAAATACATCTCTTTATTTACACCAGCAAAAGGGGCTGCCGGTCGAAGCGGGGAACATTTCACATCAGCACCAGCGATCGCAAAGCCCAGCACAGCCGGCTGGGAGTTTCTTCCCTATTGCCTCAACATCTTAAAACCACTGCAATAGCAAGGCAGGCCGTCTCCGCACCAGCAGAGCGACACGCAGGATTTATACCCCTCATCAAATGATCGCCTAAATACTTGCTCGCCGCCACCATTTCTTGATGTCCATGTGGGCCATTCCCATAAACAGAACTGGTGCTTTCAAACTAATTTCCCTTTATCCCAGATATCTCCCTGCTCTTTAACACTCTCCAGCTGCTATTTGCAGACACATTGCAGTACGAGTCCCCGCTGCCCACCCACAGCTCAGTCCCCACAAGCTCCTTGCTGCACTTGCTGTAGGCACAGAGGAGTTGTCCGAGCCTCCTGCACAGCTTATTTTCCACAACTTTTGCTGCTCAATGTGATTAGAAGCAGCTACGAATATCGTACACCTGATGCTCACGCGGTACCACTTTCCCTGCCGATTTTCTACAGCCATGCCACAGAGGTGTTATGCAATGTATTTGAGGTGGAATTGCAAAAAGGCAGAAGGATTTTAGATGAGATTCACTTTTGCAAAAGTTCTCACCAACGCTGCTGCCTAATGAGCTAATACGAAGGGACGCTAAATCTGAAATGGTGGTGAGACTCAGGAACAGCCCAGATTGATGTAATGTGGCGGAGAGAAGCACAGGATTCATCTTGCAGCAGTCAGCACATCCCGCTGAGCCTGTGCCAGTATTCAGCCTAAAACCTGGGCACACATCACACGGGCTGTGCACAAGAACAGCCACCACCACAGATCAACAGGGGCACTGGGATAACCCAGAGGTAGGGACATTCAGACCCAAACAGCCACCATTGCTACCTTCACCACCAAAACTCACCCCAAGGCTCAGTGCAGAATCAAGGTTGGTGGTGGGACCTCGAGCCGCCCCCAGGACCGTGAGTTTCTCTGCGAGCACACGCTGGGAAGAAGGCAAACCCCTTGCTACCAGGCTGGTGGGGACAGTCCCCATTAGCTGATTCCTCACCTTCCTCTGCTCCGTGATTAGTCTTACCCCACCGAAAGCCATCTTTGGCCAGGGCACATCTCTCCTGGCCCCTGGGCCCCGCAGTCACTGCGGGCATCCTTTGCTTCGCCCTCCACAACCCGCTTTTCACTGGTGTCGATGCGGCTGCCGCCCTCAGAAAGGTCTGCCAAGGCCACGTCCCCAGCAGCCCGCACCTCCAAGGGGAGAGGGCACCTCTGGAGCCAGTGCAGGGCTCTCTGCAGCCAGGGGCCCATTTTCCCCGGCAAAGCTCGGCCAAGAAATCAAGGATTCAAAAATCTCTCTGTTCGGCCCCGGAGCAGGGAGCATCCCACAGGGCATGTCGTCCCAGGGCACGAACAGTGCTCCTACCGTTGGACGGACAGGTAATTTGATAATTAGCAGTCAGGCATTTACACTGGCCCCAAACCTTTGCATATCTGGCATTTTGCAGCACCAACAGTGAAGTCCCTGGCAGTCTCCCAAGGAGTGAGGGGAGGAAAAGCAGCCGGGGCAGCTTGCTGAGCCGAGAGCCACCTCCAGCGAAGCTATCTCGCTTTCCAGGGTGAATCACACCCTTTCCTCCAGCCACTGTGATTTTTCCCAGTCTCAGTGGATTTCAAATTTCCTAAGTCACGTGGTGTGAACCACCCCTGCCACCAGCGACTTTTCTTCTGGCAGATCAACACAGAAGTTTCCCACTAGAAACCAGAAATGCTCTAATAATGGCTTTAACAGGGCTCCCGGCCCTACCTGCCGGGGAACCTAACAGAGGGCAAACCGATCGTGCTAAGGTGCTGCAGCCTTAACGAAAAGGTCCGAAAAATTACTGGAGAACCCAGGGAGAAACCGAAGACTCCCGGGGAATCGTGGCAAGCGGGGTGCCGGGATGGGATGTGCTGCGGGCGGCGGCCCCCAACCCCGCTCCCAGCAAAACCCCCCGCCCTGCACAACGTCCCGCAGCCAGGCGATGCCCCGGCTTCACCCC